GTTCATTACAAGTGGCCCTTCGAGGGCCACTGTAACGCTCATGTGGCCCTCAGTGAAAATGAGTTTGACACCCCTGCCATAAGAAATGTTGTTTTTCTGCCAACTCCCACATGTATTTTATGTTTTTATGACTGAACAGGTCAATAATGGTGACATCTATCAAAGAGCCTTTTAGGTTAAATATTGAATCTATTCACTCTCAGATTTGTTGGATAAATTATACATATATAAAACAAGTTAGGTTGAAAGAGTGAAGAAGTTTAGCAGAAATCGTTTAAATGCTGGACTCTGTCTCTCCATCACTCTGCTTCATCTCCAACATTTAACCTTGTCTTRCTCGTTACCTTTCTCATGTGTTCAGCAGCAGATTCACTTTTATATTTCCACCTGAGTGTCTTCTGTCTGATTCTACACTTGTCTGATCCCACCAGACTTCTTTAGCTCCATAGACAGTAGTGATGTGTGAATTGATCCAAATATCAGATTACTGATACAAACCCTATCATCATTGTGATACTGTGCGATGCTAACATATTAAAACTCTTCTGATACTAGTGATAYGATGCTAACACTAGTTAAATGTTTGTTCTCCTTTGTTTTCAGTATGTTGCTTCTGTTCCAGGGTGTAATGGCATGGAAATGTTTTTTTTACTTTGATTCAAAACTAAAAACAAGAATTGTAAAACATGTCTTCCACACTTTTTATCAAGGTGATAGCAGCTCAGTTTTACTCATTCAGTACTTTGTTTACTTTGAATTAACTGGGAAAATGATTTTTATTCTTTGCAATGAGTACACTTTCCCCAGAAATCACCCTTACTGGTTGTCTGTGGCCGTACAGTAACCATACATTGTCTTTCTTTTTATCTGTTACTACTTATTGCTGCTTTTTGCTCCCTAAAGGAGTCCGATTCTGACCCAGAGGAAGAGGTAAAAGTAGCAACTGCTTCCCTCCCATTAGCTCTGCTTGTCCATCATTTCTGCTGTTTGACCATCAAAACCAGAGTTGTACTGTAGCAAAGTACATTTGCTTTGTTACTGTACTTAAGTCAYTGTTTGAGCATTTGTAACTTTACTGAGTATCCTTTCAAATCGTAACTTTTAGTTTTACAGTTTCCTCAACTGGTTCCAATAAACCTAGTTAAGTAAATGGAAAGACATTTACTCAACTCAGCTTAGTGGAACCAGTTTGGTTCAGTAAATTCAACATTTTATTTCGTAAAGTGTGTGTAAAAGTATTTTTATTTTCCTGATTATTGTGAGCAGTTTCAGTTTTGTTTTTGTTTTTCAAGTACTTTATATACCTCTGACTATAACTGAATGAATGAACATTATCACTCAGGCCTTGTCTACACTGCTCTAGATTTATTCGATTGATTAGATTGTTCTCCATTGTGGAAATAATTGTAGTAAAACTGTTGTGTTCTGTGCCACTGAGAACGTCCACATTTTTGACTCATGGATGTTCATTCAAAGCAACAGCATTAACTAAAGATGTGATCCTGTCTGTCAGTAATCTGTTCTGACAGCWACAGGATCAAGGTGAACAGAAAACTGTAAACAAGTTTTTATTGTTGGTTTAGTTTTTTTAAGTAACCARTAGGAAGTCTCAAACCTCTACATCAGCAGTACCATATGACTGTGATGAAGTGATTCAACACAATCTGCTGGCTTCTTCTTTACATTGTTCTTTTTTCATATACAGTGCCCTGAGACAACGTATGTTGTGACTTGGCGCWATATAAATAAACTGAATTGAAATTGAATTGGATATAGATCCAGTAAAACCTGAATGTGTATTTTGTAAAGCATTTTTAAATCAGATTTTCTCTGTAAAACTCTGTTTGTGTGGAGAAAAGAAGTTATAGTGTAGACGAGGCCTTCTATGAATAATGTTTGTCTATTAACAAATAGAAGTTTAAATCAAACTAACTGATTATTTTATGGTTTTGTTTTTCAGACCGGCAGGACGTTTGAGAAATGTAAGCCACTTCTTTTTAGCTTTCACAGATGCTAACAGTGTTTTGACTGCATTATTCCAGCTAATATGCATTAAATGCTGACTCAGCGTGTGTAGTTTAACACTCATGTCCTGCTGTTTATCTGCCTCTCATGCTGTAGTAGACCTAATATCACTGAAAAGCCTTTATCACCCATCCTCATGTTGAGCTTCTGTTTCCCCAAGGCTTAACTTCTTATCTCACGTTTCTTTCTCATTCCACACCTGCACCACCACCACCATCATCACCATCATCATCATCATCATCATTGCTTTAACTCTTTCATCTTCATGTTTGAGGTTGGACATATGGGGACAAGGTGAAACACGACAATCTATGTATGCACTGAACAGAAACTGCAGGGGTTTAATGTCACAGCCACCTCTCCTGTTCTGGACTAAAAGCTAGCTATAGTATTAGCATTAGCTTTAGCATTGTTGACCTTTCTTGCTCCTGTTTGGTCAGGTATCCTCTTAAAATCAGTCTTTTTTTTAGTGTCCTGATGCATCTCAGTAATCCAGGTAAAAAATCAAAAAGAAAAAAATTGTATAGGTCTTCTGGACGGGTTCTTCTTTAATGAAACGTTTTGTCTCTCCTCCAAGAGACTTCTTCAGTCTGAGAGTTTCAGGCAAAATTCAGGCTTTTGAGCCCAGGGCTCACGGTTTTGATCAACACAGACAGTTTTGGATAAAGCAACACAAAGTGATAATTGAGTAAAAGTACAAGAATCTTACCAAAAAATTACTTTGGTAAAAGTTAAAGTCTCCTTT